AAGGTGGATTCAGAAGATTTTCGGCGTATCTTTATCTTATTTGTACTTGGATGTCTATAGTGTCCTATAACAAAGACCTCAATTAGTAGCCCATTTCTCCATTTTGTGGTGGAGGTTGATTCTTTGGGAGCGAAGAACTAGGCCAAGTTGGTGTTTGATGTCCAAATGGAGGGGGTGAAAAAATATAAGACATATGGACAAAACAATATTAGTGGTTGTCTACTAGTTCTCAAGGTAATGTATTGATTACCTAAAAGATCTTGTACTTAGTATTGTTATTTTTATTTTGAATTGAGAGTAGTTGGTTGTTGTAGTTTATTCTAATCGAGATTAGTTGCATTTTATAGATTTTTTATCTGCAGCACTTGACACCCACAGGGGTTTCTCTTGTACCAATCAAATGTTAATTCATTCCCCGCATTGGAGCATGGGGTGATTTGAAAATAAAAAATGGTGTGGTTATCTTTGAGAAGTTGACAAATATGAAAGAGGTATCTATTGTTATTATTTGTTTATAAGTGATGTGTATGTAGTTCAATTGAGAGTTATTTATGTATGTTGTAGGTTCCAGTTGTAGGAGTAGCCCCCCTCAACGAACAGCCACGTGTTCCACTAATTGTGCAACCACAAGTTCCATGCAAAATTAAGGAGGATCCTAACATAGGGCAGACAAGTGGTGGCCTATCCAAAGTATGTGTAATTATGTTGGCTTATATAAGTGACTGTAAGTATTTATATTTCTAATTATGTGTACATGATGATATGATATTATTTTTTTTAATCATGTGAAGAAAGATTTTCATTCCACAAAAAATCAATGGCCAAAATCAAGGATGACCTATCTGGCAAAGTAGATTCGGTGGTTACCATGATAGAGAAAATCATTGATACATTGGAATCCATGAAGCAATCCATGAATAAATGTGATGGCGAGAATAAAGACATAAACAATGAAGCAATCCATGAAGAAACCTTAAATGAATCCAAGTATGATAATCGGATGTGAATTCCGCTTCAAGTGGTGCAAACACCGAATATAAAATTTATGAAACATACACCACGACAACATTCAAATGTCATTGTAAACACACCTCACCTTCAACCGGCTTGACACTCATGCACCCAAAAAAATTATAGCCCAAAGCTGCAACAAAAATATAGTGCAAAGGTGCTGAGAAGAAACTCTAAGCGGAAGCCAAGTAAATACTTGAAATCACCATATGATATTTTCAAGGTATGATAGTTATTATAAAATTCATATTTTTAGTAATAAAAATATATATTCCAAATCTCCAATCTTGTTTGTGTAAGCAGCAACTTTATTTGAAGAAGTATGAAAATACTGTCTTGAAAATGGACACGACAGATATAACGGCGGTATAACACGTCAAACTTAATTGTGGTTTTACTTGATTACAAGATTAATCGATAATGCATTATAATACTACTCTATGTGTGTTATCAAAGTTGAACAATAATCGAACCTTGTTTGACAAGGAGATGGAGGAAGCTGGAAAGGACTTGGAGGAAATTGGAAAGAAGATAGAGGAAGCTGTAAAGATGGGTGATGAAGATGTGGTGAATGCAAATAAGGATGAACATGAGGAGATGAAGGCAACTGGAAATAAGGATGGAGAAGTGGAGATGGAGGAAGCTGGAAACAATGTAGAAGATGACAAAACTAGAAATAAGGATAAAGAGGATTTGAATGCAAATAAAGATGAAGAGAAGAAGATGGAGGAAGTTGTAAATAAGCATGAGGTTGGTGTTGATGTATATATGGTTGAAAAAATAACAAAGGATGATGAGAAGACCGAAATGAAAATACAAAAAGTTCTGGAAGAAATAACAACTTTTCACATTCCCTCAAATATCACCGTTCATGAGGTTTAATTTCGTACTCCACATTAAATGTTTGTTTAAACAAATTTCTGTATTGACTTTATTTAAACAATTGTGCCTCATTTAATAATACTCTTCATTATATTTAATAAGCATATTTCAAATTCCACCAGTTTGTGGACCCCATCAGATGTGGATTATCCACACATTTATGAAATTAGTGATTATGATAAAATATTTGTCTTCTATTACATATTTGACAACATACTTGACATGAGGTATTTATATTATATACCAATTCTCACATGTTATTCTTATATATTGTGGGAGCATCACCAATTAGTAATCCATTTTTTTTTCATAAAACAATGAGACACTGGTGAGATTTGAGACATGTTCGGCCAACATATATTCATTTATTGAATCTCTAAAACCAAGAAAATGGTTGTTAGACATTGTGAGTTAAAAATTGACATCTTTATTTTATGTGTTTTTTATATTGACCAAGTATTGATTTTGTACATTTTTTACCTGAAGATAATAGATTTAACATTTTGTATTATTCTGGATGATGTGAAGTTTAATCCTTTTACAAAAAGGACAAGGTGGTATCTACCCACATGGTGTGCAGTAATGTGGTTTATTTGACTTTTTGAATGTTGTTTATTTGACCTTTTTAATCTTTTTTTTTTTTTGTTTTGAGAAAAGAAAAAAATTTATTTATTGAACACCAAAATTACAAGAAGCAAAAACAGAAACTGTTTTGAGATAAAACAATAACTATATAACAAAAACAAGCAGGACAAAAACTGAAATAAGGGCAAAAAAGTAAATTTCATATATCTATACAATGACCCTATGCACAGCTCCTGCCTTTCCAACTTCAAACTCCTTCGCAGCACAAGGCAGCTTAGGACATCTACCATCGAAACAAAGAGCCCTAGCAGACGTTGGGCTGTAAAGCTTCAGCTGAGAGCAAACCATATTTACATGTACAATGTGGGTTAAATGTGTAACCATATTTTACCTTCAATACCCAGCAAAAAACACTTGGAAGGGTAAGGCAAGGAAACGAACAAGAAAAAATAATTGGATTGCTTGATTTTCAATGGTACTACGTTTCAGATTTCAAGGACTATGATAAGGTACATAGATGTCCAATTTTTTTTTTTAATTGATCATTTACACAATAATTAATATCTTGTATTTCTTTATGTAGATCTATATACCCATGAACAACAATAATACTCATTGGTATTTATGCGTGGTGGATGTAGTGAAGGAAAAAGTTTTATTATTTGATTCTCTACCATTATATTCCAACAATATCCGTTATTCTGATGTTGCAAATGTGATTAAACAATTAGATCAAGTCCTTCAGCTTGTCATACCTAATTACACGCCAACATTGACCAAGTGGCACATATATGGAGTGGATTGGGTTCCTAGGCAAATAAATAGCTATGATTGTGGAATATTTGTCATAAAGGAGATGCATGCTCAATTTTTGGATCAATCATTGAGAATTATGATATGATAGCTATTCTCCTTATTTAATATTTAATAGTAATAAATTAAATTTGTATATGTACCAATTGTCAATTTAACCTTGGTTATTGGTTATTGTCTTTAGGATGAATTCAATACGATGCCGAAGGATCTAACATTCAAAGTTGTTACTTACATATACAACGAATCAAGAAACAAGATCATAAGTAAGGCACAACAACACCAACAAAAGAATTGTGGTAAAAATCAAAGATGATTTGTGTGACATATTCTTCTTTTTTTTTGAATACAAAAGTTAAAGTCATGTATAGTGTTTATGGCCTAGATTTAGTGGCACATACTGATTTTTTTGTATAAACAGATATAGCTAAATTGGAATCAAATTTTTTTTTTTTTGCCAATGTTTTGATGAATCAATTGCTTTGTTTTGGTGAATCAATTTTTTTTGCCTATATTTTGCTAGCCATGGGTGGTGGTTGTATTTTGCTGAATTTTTTTTTTTTTTTTGCCTGTGTTTTGCTGACCATGAGATTTTGATTGGGTGATTTTGGTGATTTGGGATGTTTGATGTGTAAAAATATATAGATACAGTTTCTTTTTTTGTGCAAACCATTTTTTTTAATGGATCCCTTTGCCTTTTGTCATCCTTTGCCTTATCATTTCTTGGAAAAGATCAAAGCAAATGGAGAAAGGACAAAGGTTAGAACATAGGAGTACATTGATGAGGAGGATGAAAAGGAATATGAACAATTGGAGTCATTCCTTATATAACAAACTATTCTCACTAACCATTCTTACCCATCATTCTTACCAACCATTCTCGTTCTAATGGAATCCAAAAACTTTGACAAGTAGTTATACGAGCGGTATTTTTTTATTTGCATTTTTTTTGTTTGGTAGGGACTATTATATATAACATAACATATAACATAGTGTAATTATATTGTTTTTGAGATAAATTCTCTTCATCTTCTTCGTTTTCATCGTCCAAGAGCCTTAGGCTACTGTATGTCATAGTTATTTATATATAACCTACACCTGAATTGGCATGCACACATATACAAACGACAATGTGCACGTCATTTTCAAATTGAAATAATTTTTCCTTTATTTTACTTTAATTAAGGAAATTGAAATCAATATAATCTCTGCCATTTTTAAAAAAAATTTCGACATAGTTTTCTTTGAAAATAGAAACCCAAAGAAAACTAAACTTGTTTACACTAAAATCAATTGTAACACTGCATAACACAAACCATTGCATAACCAATCTCAAGAATAAATTATTCAACCAAACTCAAAGAGAATATCAAAGTTTAGTCATTACACAATTCAAACCAAAATAACCTTTACTACTAATTTTTTTTTTACGAGGGAATTTTATTGATTTAAAGATTGAGTTGCATCTAGCAAAGGAGGACGTATGTACATTACCCCTCGATGCAATCTAATTATAATAAAATGATGAATTAAAAAATTCTAATGCATGATTTTATATGGAAATTTCTAAAATATATACTAGAAAGCATGATTTTCCACATTGGAGTTGCAACCTCTAGTTGATTTGAAATCCCATCCGAGGAGATAAGCACGAGCCGAAAGGTGCAGCCATAGTTAACTCCAGTTGAAGCATAAGTCTTTGAGACCAACTATAAAAGCACTCTAGCAACCAATGCCATAATTGAGTGAGCAGCAGCCCAGCTGAGGCAGTTGAAGACATCAGCTGAGGAGCATTCTAGCTAACGCAGAAGCAACAGTCACGTGAACAGTATTCAATCCACTATAATTTAAAATCCAGCAAAACAGTTCAGCCAGTGTGTTGATTAGTTGCATGAACAGTAGCGTAAACAGTCCAGAAATCATCCACGACTTCTTAAAAGCAACTTCTGAAGGGAAGAATTTGAAAATCAGTTGGCATGCTTAGAAGTCCAGCCGAATGAGGAGCATAACTATCTAGTTGAACGTTTAAGTAAGATTTTACTCCTAAGGGTACTTATTTGTCGTTGATCTTGTTGCAGGAGAAGCCTGATGCGAATAGGCAACAAATTTGTAGAGGAGTAAGATAGAGAAACACCATCAATGACGCCTCTATTCGCAAGAGAGTTTGCCACTACATTACCTTCCCTAAAAGTATGCTCAATTCGAAAATTGAACCCTCTTAAAATGGAGAATATCCTCTGAGCAAGATTCCAAAATTTCCATGATTCCATAAACCTTTGATTGATCATATTCACAAGAACTTGGGAGTCAAATTCAATGACCAGTTCATAGACCTACAATCCGTAGTATAAGAGAAGAAGTAAACCATTCATTAAAGCTTGAATCTTAGCCTCCATATTAGAACATATCCCATAATAATAAGACCCAACTAGTATCATCTAACCCCAGTGATTCCTTAAGATTATTCCTCCTCCCAATTGTCCTAGGTTCCCCTTGGAAGCACCATCAATATTTAGCTTGAGAATCCCCTCATATGGGTAGTTGCAACTAATCCATTTAACTGAATTTCTAACTGTGCATGGCATAAAGATTTGAAGAGACTGAAGCAGCGCAAGATTAGAAGCAGTATCCATAGCTCTGGGCCTAGCTTGGTGTACCTGCAAACGCTATAAAAACATAATTGTGCTAACAATGGAAGAATAATGTTGATGTTGATCTTCAAATACTCATCTACATCTTTCTTTCCATAGTTGCCAAAAGATTAGCAGCGAGATACCTCTAATTAAAATATGTAAAGTGGAAGGTTTATTATAAACCCGAACCAATCTTTGAAACCTGGATAGAGGTTCTTCAACTTGATGAAGTTGAATACCCAAGAGGCGAGCAATTGACCCCCAAATTGATACTACAAATTTACAATGAATAAACAAATGTGCAGCAGTCTCCTCCTCACTGCGACATAATGAACATCGAGTGGCTAAGGAGACCCCTATAGATTTAAATCTTGAGTCAAGAGGCAAAGCATTTTGCATGATCTTCCATCCAATCAATTGGGCACTTGGAGGGGAGCATTGATGCCGTATATTATCTGCCAAAGCACGAGGATGACCTCTAGTTCTAATTAGCTCCCACGCAAATTTGATTGAGAAGTGTCCTGTGGTACTGTGCTACCAAATCCTCTTATCATTTTGTTGAGTAAAGACTATATCACCATGCTCATTTTATGTATAAATAACAAAGATATTTTAGATTTTTGACAAAAACATATCATATTGCATTAATTTGTTTCATCACGTTTTACTACTGCTACTTTAACTATTGTATCAACAACCAACAATTACAATTACATATAATTGTCACTTCCTATCTATTTCTTTGTTTGTCATAAAAAAAGACTCAATTATTTCCCATCTACTATCAATTCTATCTAACCTACTATCAATCACCTTGAGAGACTCCTTTATTTCATTTTGAGTATTTTCAAATTCCTCCATCTTTCTGCCCATTCGTACCAGCATAGCTCCAAATAAAGACAATCGATCATCCAATGGAGGAAGACCACTTGTGGAAGAATTTGGGACATCTTGGGCTACAATATTATCCTCAGGTGCAACTTCATTCTGAATTTCAACTTGTGGTTGTTGTGACTGAGTTTTCTTATTCTTCCCTTTCCCCAAACCCTGCTGTGGCTGAGTTTTCTTATTCTTTCCTAGGCCCAAACTCTTTTTTATTGTCCCACCATAAATTGGATTCATGAGAGTGGAATAAGCATCGCTTGAGTGAATCACAACTCCACAATTCTCCATAATCTTTGAAATAAAAATTGGGAATGAGAGACATTTTCACCTATCCTTCCTATCGTGTACCGAAATAATTTCATCAATTACTAAATAAGGTAGATCTATACACATACTCGTTCCAATGACATACAGGAGATAAACTCGATCAAGTCCAAAATCAGCATTATGTCCGATTGGACGAATATTGTACCCCACTATAAGGTTTAACATCCTATATTTGGGAGTCAGGTCTTGCTGAAAAAATAATAGATTGGCAACACTCTCACTAAAATTATTTGGTATACCCTTGATTTCTATATAAACATCCTCCAACTTAGGTATGTGCTTAGAATTATTGAATGGATAAGTAAGTGTATCGTTATGAACGAAGGGTCGACGAACTCCCAATATTTTTGAAACTAAATCTGGGGTTACTTCAAAACTCACCTTCCTCACAAGGGACTTAAACTTGTGATTACCTATATCAATATCATGCAAGTTAGAATAAAATATCCTTACCAATGTATTATATGTTTTATCCGTTTTCTTGATATCAACTGCAGAATTCCATTGATGAAGAGCAAAAATAACATCTAATCCTACATCTTTTAATTCATCCAGTAAAATACCCCTATCCAATAACAAAGGCCTATTATAAAAGCAGTTATCATACCGATGTTTGTAGTTATCATTGAAAAAAGATATGTCTTCATTGGATGAACTTGTTGGATTGAGGTTGGAGAAACTTGCTGGGTTGGGATTGGGGTCGGGTGAACTTGATGTATTGAAGGAGGGATCAACTGGATTGGTGGAGGTGGGATCAACAGTGAGATCAATTGGATTGGTGGAGGTGGGATTAGCTCTTGAGGACAGATCAATGGAGGGAGGAAGATTACATTTCTTCTTCGATGAGGGACCAGAGGGAGTATCATTACAACTCTTTTTCCTCTTCATTTTTTCATAGGTGTCAACTTTTGGCCTATACTTCTTGGTCATTATACTCTACTGTAATAAGAAAAAAAATATAGTCAAAAAAAAAAAACCAATAACATGGAAGATTATCTATTACTTTTGAGCAATAACAATTGATGGAGATGTGAGGAAGATAAGATTGCATTAATTTTGAACCATCACTCACAAAGAAAAGAAAAGAAAACTACCATAAAGGAGACGAATTCTCGTGACAATCATTGTACAACATACACCCCACGCGTAAGTTAGACAACCATGAGAGACAACTATGTAGTCGAACCCCCAAGTTGCAGACATCTTTCTCCCTCTTCTCTAACGGAGAAGCACAATACAGGCTATTTCGAGATGATTAGGGCACCAAATTTTGAAGCCCTCACCTGATTTAGGGTTTTGAATATGCAATCAGGTTGGGTTTTCACCAATTTGAGATTAGATTTGGGGTTAGATCGCTGATTTAGGGTATGGTTAGATCAATTAGGGTTTTGAGGAGTTGGAATTTTATGGGGAATACGAAGATCGATCGAGGTTAGATTAGCGAGCTAAGTTGATCAGGTTATGTTGCAATCGGGTTCAAGTTTGATCGCTTGTTGTTGCGATCGGTTTCTTGATTGCTTGTTGATCGGTGTTTGCAAACTAATTGGGAGATCAACGATCAAGTTTTCTTTTGTTAACATTAAATTACACTTATAACCCTAAATTAACACTCTTTTTTTAATTTTTTTCTCATATTTTTTATATTACACCCTCAACTATGTAATTAGTTTCATATTACCCCAAATTTTTTTTACCTATTTTAATTAATGCAAAAAGTATACCCAAATATGATAACTTTGTTCTAATTTATTTAGTGGTGAACTTATTTTCTATTATTTTTAACTTAATCTAAAATATAAATTTAATTTCACTCAATAACTCCAACTATTGTAAATTTTTTGTTGTATTTTTATTTCATGTTTAAATATAATAAATAATTATCATTTTAATTTCTATTATCACTTATGTTCAAAGTGTACAGGGGGTTCATGTTTAAATTTTTTTAAAGTGTATAAGGGGTTCATGTTCATGTTCACTCAATAACTCCAACTACAGTAAATTTTTTGTTATAATTTTATTTCATATTTAAATATAATAAATAATTATCATTTTAATTTCTATTATCACTTATTTTTAAAGTGTATAGGGGATTCATGTTTAAATTTTTTGAAGTGTATAGGGGTTCATGTTTCAATTTTTTAAAGTGTATAGGGGGTTCATGTTCATGTTCATGTTCACTCAATAACTTGCAAATTTTTTGTTATATCTATATTTCATGTTTAAATATAATAAATAATTATCATTTTAATTTCTATTATCACTTTTTTTAAAGTGTATAGGGGGTTCATGTTTAAATTTTTTAAAGTGTATAGGGAGTTCATGTTCATGTTCACTCAATAACTTGTAAATTTTTTCTTATATTTTTATTTCATGTTTAAATATAATAAATAATTATCATTTTAATTTCTATTATTACTTATTTTTAAAGTGTATAGGGGGTTCATGTTCATGTTCACTCAATAACTTGTAAATTTTTTGTTATTTTTATTTCATGTTTAAATATAATAAATAATTATTATTTTAATTTCTATTATCACTTATTTTTAAAGTGTATAAGGGTTCATGTTTAAATTTTTTAAAATGTATAGGGGTTCAAGTTCATGTTCACTCAATAACTTGTAAATTTTTTCTTATATTTTTATTTCATGTTTAAATATAATAAATAATTATCATTTTAAATTTTTTAAAGTATATACGAAACCCGGTTATAGGTTTTCTATGAGTTTTAGAGTTAACAGGTGGTGAGCATACAATTCTTTTAATTTTTTGATATCGTACCTATTTTCGCCTTTTCGGTATTGAAGCCAACTCCAAGAAGGAAACTTGTTGCAACTGATTAAAGTTCCTATTCCATACATAGAAAACTCAAGTGCACCATGTTCAATATGTAAAATAATCGTCGCAGATTTTGCTATCTTTTATGCATGAACAAATTGGAGACAAATTGCATGTTTTTGGGGGGACCTTAATTACGGAAAATTCTGGATGTATAGGGCCCTTACCTTAAGAATTTGGGAAAATTGAAAGTGAGTCCCCCTAGATGTACTTGTTTGGAGATAAGTCCTGTAAGGAAAGTTATAAGGGGTTAAGTCCATATTTAAAATTATATGTAATGACTTAAATTCACTTTTTTTTTATCTCAAAAATACCCTTCTTTGAAATGAAGTTAAATTAATTTTCTATTTTGAAAATTGTTATCCCTTAATTCAATGTCAATTAAAATATACCAATAAAATCTCCATCATAAATTTAAAATTCAAATTCAAAACTCTCTCTCTCTCTTTTTCTTTATATATATATATATATATATATATATATATATATATATATATATATATGCATATGTACCTATATATTATACTTTAATGGTTTGAAGATTTTCATAAAATCCGATAAATCTTTTCTTGTTTTTGGAAAAAAAAGAGAGTTCATTATAGAAGGGTTTATCAACTTATTACTTTGCCATCGAAGACTAATTCGATTTCGGAAGTTTCAATTGATAAATCAATGAATCTAGATTTGTCTAAAAGTAATATTCAAAAACCTAGAGTAAATTCAATTGTTTCTGCATCTTTATCTTCTTCTTTGTATTCGCGTTCGTCATCTGAGGCGAAAAAACTTTGATCACTGTTTATAAAGAAGTCTTTGGCTCGATCTCAATCCAATTCGTTTAATCAGAAAAGACAGACCCATGCGAATTATACAATCGTCTCTTGTTTGTCAAGTTCAAATTCAATGTTGTTTTCCATTCTTGTCGCTCTCTTTTTAACCATTTTTTGAGGTAAATTTTGTGCAATATTATTTACATCAGCATGTTACTATGAATTTGAATAGTAAAATTTAAATTCATGTTACTATTTTTTTTATGATATTACTGTTCATATTACTGCTTTTGTTGAGTATGTTACTATTCATGTTACTATTATTTTGAGCATGTTACAATTTTTGTTGAACATGTTACTACTATTATTTTTTAAAATATTAATATTCAATGCTACTATTTTTTTTTTTTGAATATTATTATTTTTTGTATTTGAATGGTCCTATTTTTTGCGTTTGAATTTGAGATAAATAATTATTGTTAAGTATGTTACAGTTTTTGTTAAGTATATTACTATTTTTGTTGAACATGTTAATATTTTTATTGAACATGTTACTGTTGTTATTTTTTAAAAATATTAATATTGAATGTTTCAATTTTTTTTATGTTTAAATGTTACTATTTTTTGTGTTTAAATGTATTATTTTTGTGTCCAAATGATAACTTTTTTTTATATTTGAATGTTATTATTTTTTATTTTTAATGTATAGATATAGATAGATATGAAAGAGAAAAGATTTTAATGTTAATCAAACTCTTAAGATTTAAGAGTTTTTAATTTTTAGTTTTATTTCACTTTTAAACAGAAAAGATAATATGGTAAAATTGATAAAAAAACGGATTTCATAACAAATAAATTCAAATAAGTTTATATAAGGGGATCGTCTTCTAAATTTTCTTAAAAATTTCCACGTGGATGATGATAGCAGGCCGTTTTTTCCATTCCTACTAATGGATAAAGTGTTTCAAGAAAAGTCAACCGGGCTTTTGATAGAAGCCCGGCCCATGAAGAGGATTGGCAAATATTTTAGGCATTCATTTGAATGAAGTTGGACTTGGAGAAGGCTTAGCCCGATCTAATAGCAGTTTTGATCCTCTTAGTTAATTAAGAGGAAAAGGCAATCGTGATTGATAAACTGGGAAAAAACACGTGCACGAAATGTCAAAGGTCAATAGCTCGGATTAGTTCTAGCTTGACAGGGAACCGTCCCCGAGTCTCTAAAGCTCGGTAGAGTCCTGTCCTAAAAGAACTTTGTCTAGTTTAACTCAAGTACCACTTTCACTTAACCCGTAAGATTGGGTCAAGCAAGTGGAGCACAACTATCTCAATTCAAATAGGCGGAGCAAGATCCGACCTAAC